GCTAGAGTTAAAAAGTTTTGATCTAATATGTATTTGTTTCAACTGCTATCGTGCTCGGGTTTAGACGATTCAACGTACTCGTATAACTGGATAGAGATTTATCGTCATCTCTGATCCACACGTGGAATTTTGCGCCACTTCGATAATATTGCACGATATTGATGATACCCATCACAATATATATCACAGTTAAAATTAGGAAGTAGCTGCCGTAGACAAAAAACTGAAATGGAAAGTTTTTTATTTCAGGAAATCCAATATCCAATCTCGAAGCATTTTCAGCGTATCGTCTTACCTGCTGTTTAATATTTAGCTTAAGTGTATTAACAACCACAAGCGTCAACAAACTTTGCGTTAATAACGCGAAGAATGTATTTACGCCGAACACAAGGCCATAACTATCCTCAGATATACACTTGGCGACTTCGAAGCTACGAACAAGCAAAAGTAAAACGATCTTTGATTTCTCCCTTTCCTCATTTAGCCTTATTGCAATTTTAATAGAATCAAGAATGTACTGTAGTCAGTAGAACGTTTATTTTACAACTGTTGAAAGTTTTATTCGCGATTGGATTATACTTTTAAATCTAGAGAATAGTTCTATTTCGGCGAAGAAAATTTCCAACGGTTGAAAAATAAATATTCTGCTGAACGCAAAAGCACTTATCTCAACTTCTAACTAAGGTAATTTCCCGATTAAGAACTGGTTTCACTACATGAAAAAAACAATTTGGTTTAAGTATCTAACAATTTAACTACAGATCTGAAAATAATTTTGTTGCATCAACACACACATTAAAATAATTATGTAAAAATCTGTAACATGATTAATAATGCTGCAAAAAGTTTCGATACTGTAGGGACTAGTTTGAGTGTCCTACACAATTATTATGACTCAACCAAATTATTTTCAGATCTATATGTAGCTAAATTTTTAGATGCTCCAGCGAAACCTTCTTTCTGTGCACCTTCGATTAGCTTAATCGATCGATTAAGTGTCAACTATGATTGATCAATTTTGATCAATTCTGCTTAATCATTGCGTTCACCTTGCAACAGTAACCATGGTGTGGTAAATTACACCGAATATGACGTAGCCGAAATACAGAAGCCAAATGTTGTAGCTGTAAGAGAATCCTAATAACATACCGCCTTCCAAGAGCGAAAAAATAGACAACGTCATGTCTCCTAATAGGGTCCAATTTAACTGTATCTTCCCTACATAAAATACGGTCACTGCACCTGGTAAAAATGAAAAAATAAATTAAAAAATTTAATTATAGCTTTTGCATAATTTTATTTAATCAGTTTTTCTTAATCGCATCTCTCTTTCATCACATCAATCAAGTCTAAGTGATACTTTCGAAGTTTTCACGGATATTTTTTTTGAAGAAACTACGCAGTTTGCAAATTATCTCCGTGTCTTGACGTCGTTAAATCTAAAATTTCGTGAACATTGCGATTCATCTCATTAGAAGAAAAAGTAATTTATATAATATAATTTCAGGTTGCTTCTCGCTTTGATGAAGTGAATTGCATTATTTACGAAACGTTACTTTATAATTTATCAAGATATGACTCGCAAATTCATTGTGAATCAAGTTTTAATAAATTTATAAATAAATATATTTCACGCATCTATAACCACACACATCGAATCTCACTGAGCTGTATTTAATTGATGAGTAATTTTGATGAGATTTGAATTGAATGACATTTTCAATTAAGATAAAATTCTTCTATATAATATAATTTTATTATATATATCCTTCTAAAATATTAAATATTAAATATTTGTTTATATAGTTGGCACAAATACATTTTTATTTATAGTATATTCAGTTTTTTCAATTTGCAAGAAAGATAAAAATTATCTACTAAGACTTGGATATTTCTTGGAAAAGTGGCTAATGTTATCTGCCATCTTCATTAAGCTTTATCTCACATAATGTGTACTTATTTTAGATTAGAGAGAAAATTACTTCATTGTTAGCAGATAACATTAAAGGAATTGCAGCAATTATTATCTTCATTGCGATAATATTTAAATAACAAAAATTGAAATTTTATAACACGTAAATTGATACTTTAATTAAAATATTCAAGAAAATTACGCGGTTTACCCCGCATCAATTACATTGATATAACTAATTGTTCTGCATTGATTCGTTGTTTTAACTGGATATTTCGATTTTACAAAATTAAATAAGGCGCATGTTTTATCAAAAATGGCTGAAGCGTCTTCCTTACCGACGATTGCGTAGACAAAATCCACGGCACCGTTGTAGATCATGTCGCCTGGCATCACCGCAGTTTGCCATAGTAGTTGAATGTAGCTGACGACCTGCAAGTAGCCGCAGGTAGCCAATGCCCACCAGACCGACCACTTGGCCACGCGATAATTGGTATAAGCCTGGATGAAATGTTTCCACAACAACGCATACGCGTTTCTGATCTTGCGAAGCACCCGTGTGCCTGATACCATGAAACAATGCTTTGTTTCGCCATTCTCGACAGTGGATGATTCTTGCAAATTGCTGGAATGTTGCGAGTGATAATCGAGAGTGTCTTTTCCTTGTTCTTCCTCAGAAACGCTGGTGCGATGAAAATACATCGACTGATCTACAGGAGGCAAGAAGAGCGCCCAGATCGTTGCAAAAATATTAGCTGGAAAACAAAATTTGTAACATGCTATTTATATAATTCTTCGATATAATATAATATAGAAAGAAATGTCAATATTTATAAATAATATCTCATGTATATTGCAATACCTCATCCGTAACAGAAACATACAGATCCTGATAATCCTGGGGATAATTTGAAAAATCATGTTTTCTCAGAAAAAATTTCAACACGTGTTTAAATTTAACAAACTTTAAAAACAATAAGTTCTATCAATAATATTTTTTTTTTTAAACAGTTTTATATCCGTAGATTAGAAGAATATAATTGAATTCGAAAAATTTTTCGAAAAGAGAGAGAAAATAAAAACTTAATAACAAAAAGTAGGTTCCAAGAATCCATACGTTTCTTTAATGTAAAAAAAGAAAATGTGTTTCTGTTATGGATTGATTAATTTCATTACTTTGCACAAGCTATATAGAATTCTATGCAAAATGATTAAATCATATAATCGGACAGTTTGATGTACGCATCGGTTAATCTTATCTTGCGTACCTGAAAGAGTTATAAAATTGAGCTGATGATAGTTTAATAATTCGAAGGAAGCTGTTAATTGTGCTACAATACCAGACATACTACGACCAAATAATACGGCCGCTTTAGTATGTCCTGTTACTTCTTGATAATGTTTTTTATCTACTTTGGCATATATGTAAGTATAATAAGCCACTTCTGTTGACATAAACATGCCGTAAAAGAATTCTATAATCTGGAATACTATCACAGTTTTGCCGAGTATAATCATAAAGAACGTGACGACACCAGAAAGACCACATAATACAATGATTGGTTTGTATCTAACAAAATCTGTTATCAAGAAGACAAGTATCAGCGTTGCTAAGTAACTGTACGTGGACACAGGAAAAATATCTTGATTTACCTGAAAAATTAAACGTATCGTTAACAATTCGATTATTGAATGGACATAAAATCAATATAATAAAATCAATATTTCAAAAACTAACTTCCTCCTTTGTGAAATTCTTCCATGGTCCAGTTAAGTAATCGGTTATAAATGATTCAGAAGGCCGAAAGTCCTTAAAACATCCAAACATGCATAAAATACATGAGATTTTGATCCACTGCATTCTTTGCTTGCTTTGTGAATGCTTGTCGTTGTTTAATGAATTATTTAAAAAAAATTAATATAATCTTCTGCATCTCTGTAAGAAAGAAAAGAAAGCATTACATTAATTTATTTAACATATATAATGAATGTATTAAAACAATAATATAAATTTATGTTTTAATATATTTTCATCTAATAAATAACAGTGTTCTAACAAAACATTTAATACAATAAAATAAAGTAATTTATTTTGTTCTATCCAGAGATTCATTTAACATTTAGAGATTTTATTTTAATTTCGTTTTCAATTAATTATTTTCCGTATTATATTTGTTCTTATTAAACTTCACTGTATCTGTTACAATTAAACGTTTCAAATATCTTTTTTCACTACGTTACATTTATAAATTTCTGTACAATTTTATACGCTCACCAACGCTGCGGTCTACTGCCGTCCGCTACTACCTTGAAAATAAATCTTCACGAGCCTAGTTGACTTAGCATTGAACAAGATTGTGCAAAAGTAATAGAAGGGAAACTCCAAAACTAGTTTAAATCACAGTGCACCTTAGTGAGGAAAATTGTAACACATTAGATCACGAACGAAATAATGATAATGAACATTTTAATACACTATAAATGAATAATTTTAATCGCGTCGAACGTTACTATATTCTAAAAATAAAGTTGTATAAGTTATTAAATTTTAAAAGTCGAATTGACCACGTCAATTTTTATATCTATCGTCGGTAATTTATCACATTCTTATTTTGTATGTATATGCGTGTGTGTGGTGTGTGTGTGTGTGTGTGTGTGTGTGTGTGTGCGCGTGTGTGTATTTAAATTTTATTAATTTATAATAAAGTTTAATTTGTGTTTTTAATTTATATTAAAAATTTCTAATTTTAAATTTCATTTTCGTAACTTCTAAAATTAAATTAATTTTGAATTTCTTTCAATATAATTCAATATCTTTTGTATTAATTATATAGTAATTTATTGACGTTTCTACTTACATTTCTTTTTTATATTTCTAATATAAAACCAACTTTTTATTCTTCAGTAATATGTCTCGATCAATGACAACGAGGACAGATTTTTAATTCGAATGAAATCCACTACGAGCCACCACTGTCTCTACTTAAAAATTGGGATTATATTGGGTTGATAATTATAAGTTAGACGGATATTATTTTTCAGTAGTATAACATTGTAATGCGTAGATTTCCTCCCTCCCCCCCCTCCTCCCTCCTCCGTTTATATTTTTAAATAACATATAATTCAATCATTTGCATGTATTTTCTTTCGATTGATACTCAAGAGCGAGTCAGAATGACTTTTTATTATTTCTAACAATAAGTGAATACAAATTTAGAGTGTTAAAAAATTGTTACACCAGGGGTCTCTTTTCAAATACAATATAACAATAGCAATGTTATTTTGAAGTGTTGACTACGCCGACAATCGCGCCCCTTCTCCAGATCGGATTCAGGGGGGATGAGCCAACGATGATGGGGGATGCTGGTTGAACTTTGTGGACATCTCGTAGATCCCGCTCGTCGGCTTGTCAAGAAGCGCGCGCGCAATTTTCGAGTTTTTCTCGGACTCGATACCAGGACGTGATATATAGGAAGAAGCCTTCGTTTCCTTTGCTGAGAATTGACGATTAAGGTAAGCTACTCGCTATCGTATTTAAAAAGCACACTTTTTTTTATTGAAAAGCATTAGTATAAAAAAATCCTCTGTTTATTGTTGCGTGCGATATTTATTTCATACAAATTACTTTCTAATTTTACATTGCTGTTTATTGAAATTGCAGTGCAAATAAAAATTCATGGATTAGACATATAAAATTTATATTTTAACCCTAATCGGTTTTCGCAAGTTCGGTAGACCTGGAGTTTCCTTCGACTGTTTTGTAAAAAATGATTTATAATAAATGTTTTTTTACAATTTTAGATAATTAAAAAATTTACAATCTTCTTCGAATTTTGATTTTTAAAACAAAAAGAGATTCATTCAATTACATTTCAGCAAAGGAAAGTTAATTTTAAGTACACTAGATACGCGCGAATATTACGCGAAAAAATTAGCTTTACTGAAGTATCTAAAATTTAGCTAATTAATTATGGAAATTAATTTATGCAGATCTAAAAATAAAAAAAATTTGATCCCACAAAATAATTATGTTTAACAAATTTTAATTAAATAGTATTGATTAGGGTTAAATTAATTAATATAAATTAATTAATAAAAAATGAAATTTATTGCGATCACAATTTTTTTATACTTCAGTTTCGATAAACAGTACATATACATATAACATACACTTTTTCATCTATCTATCGTATCGCGACTGAACACTTCGTTTCTTCATCCGAAGACGTGTCGAGTCGTGATGAAAATATATATAACGAAGATATAAAGAAGAACTAGAATCTCAGGATTCGTGTCTCGCAAAAATACGAGATGATTGGTGAAAAAGAAAGTGTCGCAGAATTGTTGTTAACAATTATTAAGAATTAAAAGCTATTATGTAATTAATTAATTATTAATTGCTTGAAAATTAAATTTATCGAATTTTCTACTAACAAGTAACACTATCCAACTGTCACTCACCAATCTAGAGATGAAACTATGCATACTTGTTTCACATTGAAAAATATTGAACCCATATTTTTCTATTTTCCCCCAAAGTGAATTTTAAGGGTTGAAATCACCCCTCAACCACTCCCAAAAAATGTGTTATCTCGCCATTAGAATTAACTCCGAGCATATAGATGGCAATTAAATCCTGATTTTAAATATATTAAATCCTGCACGGAAGAAAATGTTTGATTGAATTAATTGGAATTCTGATGGAAAATGAACGATCCAGAATTTGGGTTAAGTCTACTAGATTTCTGATTAAATCTACTAAATATTGGTTATTTCAACAATAATTTTAATAGATTTAACTAGAATTCTGGATCGTCCACTAGAATTCTAATTAATTAATTCAACCAAATATTTTTTTCTGTATGATTTTTGTCCCATTTTTGCTGTTTTTTCAAGTTAGCATTGAAAAAAATCAACTTGACTTCCAAACGACTTTAACATTTGAACTCCAAAATCAAGGTAAGGACATTACATAGTTTTTCATCAACTCTACAATTTTCGTCGAAAACATAATTCGTTGCCATCTATATGTTCAGAGTAATTTTCGTGGCGAGATAACACATTTTTGGGGGTGGTTTCAACCCTTAAAATTGATTTTGGGGAAAAATAGAAAAACACAGATTCCATATTTTTCAATGTTAAACAAGTGTGCAATAGTTCCATCCAGATTGGTGAGTGATAGTTGAATAGTGTTAAGAGGATTTTGCCTTGTTGGTTTTTAAAATAAATTTTTATGTATTATATAATTTTAATTTATAATTTGTGTATATTACATAATTTTTGTACGTACACTTATATCACTGTACAAAGCAATACGCACACATGCACTAAGCAATTATGTATATAGAAAATTAAGCAATAATTCATCTAACAAGGAGACCTATGAAAGTGTCCCTGTCCTATTTTAATGAGCTTTAAATATGTTGTTTTCTAGAAAAAAATAAGGGGCATGTATTTTATTATTTTATTTATATTGACAATAACTTTTAGTCAAAACATTTTTTTCTATCTTTTACACGCAGTTTCGGCGATATTCATTTCAAGAGAAGAACCCGATTTTCTTCAAAGAGACGTTGCCCCCAAAAAGTGCTAGATTAGACCCTTATAAAAAAAGCCTTTATTTCTGTATAAAAAAAGAAGAGCAACATATTCAAAACTTATTAAAATCGGAAGCGAACTTTTCTTGGAGTTTCCTGATAAAATATCTCCAATTCTTAAGTTAGATATAATTCGTCTTTTGGTGCCATTTCTTTTTCGTCACATACCTCGTATGTCGCGGAGACGCGCCGTCGCGTTTGATTTTAATATCGACGAGGAAGTTGATAACACTTAAAGCCGTTAAAGGGACACTTGATGAAAAAGTGTTAGAGGAAAAAAAAAAAAAAGTACGTAGGCGTCCCCGTGGAGGCGTTTTCGTCACGACCCGATACGCCCTGAGGAGAAAGGAAAAGATATGACACTTCGATCAGACGCCTCTCGCATCCCGCCGGTCGTGAAGCTAATGAGTCAGGCCGGATCTCGTTGAACGAGTCTCGATCAACCGCCGTCGTACGCGATCGCGATCTCGTGGATCGACCGATCTCTCTTTGCCGGAGAGTTACCGTCTCGTGAAAAACGACGTTTGCCCCGCAACGTCGCCGTGGTGCGAACAAATCGTCGCTTCTTCGCAGTCAGTTTTCATTCAAGGTGTTTACGAACAATGCCGGATGATGCTAAGGCACTTGTTGCCTTACTGACGATCACAACGTGAGCGGTCAGTCGTGATCCGCGGATCATCGGGGAGATAATGATTACAGAACAGACCTGGAGCATGATGCTGGACAGCGATGTCACGAGCATCAACGAGTGAGTAGTCGATTCGCCTTCTTCGTCCCTCTCGACTTCTTCGTCTCTCCGCGAAGTGTGAAATTCGCTCGATCTGATCGAGAAATATTCTACTTGGTAAATTGAATCTCAAACGGATCTCGTTTTCACGAGAATTATTTGAAAAGTCGTTGATTTGAAAATCATTTTTTGTACAGAGCGACTCAATCGTACCATGGAGAGAACAATTTTGCTGAAGTACTTCAAGATTACGAAAGTAATTATGTATGAGAGTGAATCAAAATGTAAAAGAGAATTTTTGTTTATTGCTTATTGGACGAGAATAAAAATATAAAGAAAATAAATTATTTTTCTGCATAGTTTCCTGCTACTTTAAAAATTACAATTAGCTGCAGACGCAACCTACTACTTTTTATGAAAACGGGGATATGTAGAAAAATGATTTGTGTTTTTTTTTAATTTTATATTTTTTATTCTCGTTCAATAAAAATCTCAAGCATGATAAGCGATACTGCGAAAAGTTTTAATATTCCAGCAACTAGTTTAAGCATACATAATTATTTTGATTCAATAAAATTATTTCTATTTAGTGACATTTTTAGATATTTCAGCAATATCGTTTTTTTCCATGTAATTTATCTAATAGCGAATTCGATTGGCGACGCACCCAATGCACGTTGGTGCACATTAAAGCCGCTGTACACAAAATAATGTAAGGACATGTTTATAAATAAACATAGAAATCGATTAAATCGTGAACTCAATACATTTTATTGTTTACTATTAGGTAATATATGTATTTCATGAATCGAAATATTTGCATTTCATTTTTATATTCAAATTAAATCAGTGTACAACGGCTTTAATATGCACCAGTGCGCACTAATGCTTCCAATCGAATTCGTCATGTATTACGTATACATTTATGATACAAAAACAAAACGCGCGCATAAAATATTTCTCTTTACAACGGTATA